ATCAGCTGAGGAATATTAATTCTGTACCTCAGAAATGAGTTTGTAAGCATTAGTTAATTATGGAAATTTATTGTAGCAACATTTTTTATTACCTTAAAGTTTTGCTGCGACTCATCAGTGGAGCATAAATGGAAGCTTTGTTGTCATAAATTTTTCTTAATTTTTTTATTAAATTTTTTAAAATATATACATTATAATAAGAACACTAAAAGAAATGCTGTGTTATGCACTTTGAGTGCATAACTGCAAAACCTCTGAATTATCTAGCAAATAATACAATCTGTTATAAAATGAAGTTTATTGTGTCATGGGAAGCATAATTATAAAAGGTAAGTACAATAAAAAGGATCTTTAAATACATAAATAGGTACTGAAAATCATTAATGAAAAATAGGTCACCAGTCTGACATATTATTAGCGTATTAATAAAGAAAGGTTTATATGAAGTATTTTACTGGTATTTAGCATAAATGTTGGTCATATATGCATAAATATTTTAAATAATAGTCTTATACTCTATAAAATATTTTTAGTTTGAATAAAATGCATTATTTTAAAAGAAGATAGCAAACAAAATGTTACAGTACCATCATACTGAAAATGGCATTTAGTAAACTTTTTGATTTGAGGAATGTTAAATAAATGACATGTGTGAATGCTAGCTTAATAATCATCTCTAATGTGATAGGTAAACAGTGTTAGTCTTTTCAATAGAAATTTGGAAAGATTTTCAAAAGTTGAAGTTTATTTTAAATATTTATTTATCATAAAGCATTTCATTATGCTCTTAAAAATAATATATATATATATATATATATATATTATAAATAAATATATTATATATATAATATAATTTTAAACAAATTTTAAATTCTTAACATACGTATAAAAGTAAAAAAGCAAATTTAAATTCTAAAAAAAGGAAAAAAAAAGCCAAAATAATTAAAAATATTTTTAAAAAATGTGCAAACGTGTAAAAGATTTAATTCTCGAATTAATCTACCATATCATTTAAATTCAGAAGCATAAACAATTAAGTGCAAAATCTATCCATGAAAATAAATCTACTAATTTAATAAATTAAAATTAAATTAAACAATTTTTTAAAAAATGCATATGTGAATGACCGTAGAGTAGGCAGGAGACAGACTTATCAAGGGGAAGTTGCCTCCAAACCTAACTCTCCAATCATTCAATTCGTGTTTCGTCATTCATGCAGGCAAGGGTAAAAGTCAAAACCAAAAGTAATTCCAATAAAGTGGTATCCTTAGAAATTAACATTTAAGAATTAAAGTTTAAAAAGGAAAATACTAATGAAGTCTTTTAAGTAACAAGCAAGTAAAGTCAAGAATTAAACTTTTTCTTAAAAAATTAAATTTTTTTATAAAATAATAAAAAATCTAGATACCAATGTATTTTAGAAATCCTTGTCTACAGAAACTTCCCCTACACGAATATGCATATCAATAAAAAGAAACTATAAAAGAACTATACATAATCCATATAAACCAATAAGAAACAAAAAGAAACTAATTCACAATTTTAAAAAAAACAAATATATATTTAAAAATATAATTTCATATTTAGAAAGTACCTAGATACTACATAAATGTTTTTAAAAAAATACTTAAAGCAAGTAAATAGTAAGTTTTAATTCTAACTTACCTACAATATGAGTGTTGGGGTCTGCAAAAGTGTTGTGAAAGAGAAGTAAGTGTGTTCTTCAAATTATATAGATGGCGCTTATGTAGGTAAAGTTGAGTGTCAAGCTGCTATCTTTGTTATAGTAAAAAAAATTTTTGTAAACATTAATATTAAAAAATAAATTAAATTAAAAATCCTAAAGGTAGTAATATCAATTATTTAGGGAGTTAAGTAACTGAGCCAATCAAGAGATGTAAGTTTGCTTGAAGGAAATTAAAGTGAAGTGGTATGTGAAAAAAATGTAAACGTTTGTAATTTAAAATGTGTGTTCTGTTGAAAAATTGTGGAAATTGTTAAAAAAATTAAGTGAAAGGTATTTTGTGTGAAAATTGCAAAAAATTAAAGTAATTAAGAAAAATTGAAATGTTTTAATATTAAAGTTTTAAAGTAAAATTTCCCAAAATTTTTTTTGAAATGAAGTCCTTAAAAAACCTTTAAAAATTCCCAGAAATTTCTCAAAAATTCCTTTAGGAAGTTAAATAAAACTTAAATTTGATGAAAGAAAATATTAAAAGTTTAATGAACTTGATTTCAATTGGTATATCAAAACTTAACTAAATACTGGCTAAAGTATGGAAAATTAGAATAAGAAGATTAAAAATCTTTACTCAATTCGGGCTATAATTGAGACTTTTGAAAAGAGTTGGGGCCCCTTTATTAGTAAAAGGAAAGAATCCAGTATTGATTAAATATACATATTTACAAAATATTTATAATATTTACAAATATACATATTTACACAATATTTAGTTAAGTTTTGATATACCAATTGAAATCAAGTTCATTAAACTTTTAATATTTTCTTTCATCAAATTTAAGTTTTATTTAACTTCCTAAAGGAATTTTTGAGAAATTTCTGGGAATTTTTAAAGGTTTTTTAAGGACTTCATTTCAAAAAAAAATTTGGGAAATTTTACTTTAAAACTTTAATATTAAAATATTTCAGTTTTTCTTAATTACTTTAATTTTTTTAACAATTTTCACAATTTTTCAACAGAACACACATTTTAAATTACAAACGTTTACATTTTTTTCACATACCACTTCACTTTAATTTCCTTCAAGCAAACTTACATCTCTTGATTGGCTCAGTTACTTAACTCCCTAAATAATTGATATTACTACCTTTAGGATTTTTAATTTAATTTAATTTTTAATATTAATGTTTACAAAAAATGTTTTACTATAACAAAGATAGCAGCTTGACACTCAACTTTACCTACATAAGCGCCATCTATTTAATTTGAAGAACACGCTTACTTCTCTTTCACAACACTTTTGCAGACCCCAACACTCATATAGTAGGTAAGTTAGAATTAAAACTTACTATTTACTTGCTTTAAGTATTTTTTTTAAAAATTTTATGTAGTATCTAAGTATTTTTTAAATATGAAATTATATTTAAATATAATTTGTTTTTTTAAAAATTGTGAATTAGTTCTTTTTGTTTCTTATTGGTTTATATGGATTATGTATAGTTCTTTTATAGTTTCTTTTTATTGATATGCATATTCGTGTAGGGAAAGTTTCTGTAGACAAGGATTTCTAAATACATTTGTTTCTAGATTTTTTTATTATTTTATAAAAAATTAATTTTGGAAAAATTTAATTTTTTAAGAAAAAGTTTAATTCTTGACTTTACTTGCTTGTTACTCAAAAGACTTCATTAGTATTTTCCTTTTTAAACTTTAATTCTTAAATGTTAATACTTAAATGTTAATTTCTAAGGGTACCACTTTATTGGAATTACTTTTGGTTTTGACTTTTACCCTTGCCTGCATGAATGACGAAACACGAATTGAATGATTGGAGAGTTAGGTTTGGAGGCAATTTCCCCTTGATAAATCTGTCTCCTGCCTACTCTACGGTCATTCACATATGCATTTTTTAAAAAATTGTTTAATTTAATTTTAATTTATTAAATTAGTAGATTTATTTTCATGGATAGATTTTGCACTTAATGTAGATTAATTCGAGAATTAAATTTTTTACGTGTTAGCACATTTTTTTTTTTTTAAATTATTTTTAATTATTTTGGCTTTTTTCCTTTTCTTAGAATTTAAATTTGCTTTTTTACTTTTATACGTATTTGTTAAGAATTTAAATTTGTTTAAATTTAAATTTCATTCCTTGCAGCAATGGCGCAAAGAATATTTAATTAAATATATATTTAAATTAAATTTTTTTAATTAAATTTAATTTATTCTTATGAAACTATATATATATATATATATACTATACACACACACATTGCAAATCATTATTTAAAACAAATTAACATTTTTGAACTGAATTTTTTTTACTATTTATGAACTAAATTAAATCTTTGAAGCAGTACTGGCATAGCCTTGGAAAATTTATCCATGCAGAGAATTCTAAGGAATGCTCGCTTATGTTTAAGTAGAATTAAAAGTAGACAATAAAAATATTTCTAGCAGGAAACTAAAATACACATGAAAATGACGATAATTTTATTGGGCCACTAGTAGTTTCTTGCTGTGTATCTTTAAAAATATTAGCTATTGCAATAAAAATTGTGTAAAAAATTTCGTTTTGTTGTATATACAAAATATTTCTGTAATTTATGGAGAAAATTTATAGAATTATAAACAGAGTCGGAGGCTTTTTTTCCCCACTACATGTTAGGATTATAGTCAGTTCAAAATAAATTTTTAAATATGGCAGATATAATAATAAAATGAATGTAACTGAATAGTGATTTTTTTTATTCTTCTGGAAATTTTGGTTTTTAACAAAGTAAAATATTCTCAATGTATGCAAACTGAATATATAGTAATCTAAACTGCTGAATTTAACAAAATTTTATTGGCATCAAGGCAGCAATTATATATAGTTGCAATGTAGAGTTATTGAAAAAGAAAATATATTTTTGAGGAATACCACCTCATAATTGTTTTTATAAACTGCATCTCTATAATTATATAATATACTTATTCAAAGAATATGAGAATAATATGTTTATAATTTTTGCTTGTTTTTGAACCTATATTAGTTTCCGAAGGAATTCATACTCGAAAATTTGAAATCATTAGAATTACTTTGAATGGATAATTTTGTTTATATTCCAACTCTTAATATTATACAGATGTCAGCAAATAGGCCTCTTACAGGTTCTACAGTAATGTTCCATTTCCAGTTTCACATTTTTCAAGAACACAGTAAAGCATGTAGGACTGAATTCTTTTTCTTAATCTGTCTCTCTGTGTATGTGAGAACCGTAAATTTTATCATGTAAATTTTTTCTTCCCTTCAATTTCTTTGACTAATAACTCCAGGTCACCTGTTAGGAATCGTCGTACTAGATCACGTTCCCGTGGTCGTTCTGTAAGCCGAAGTCGTTCCAAGTCAGTGAGCAGAACTCCTAGCCGAAGTCGCAGTGTTAGCCGAAGTCGTTCCAGGAGCAGAAGCAAATCTGGATCTCGTGGGAGGTAATCCAATTTAGCTAGATATATCTGAATAAGTATTTAATAAATTCCAAAGTTTTCTATATTTTTAATAAACTTTTCATTTTCTTGAAATGGGAATTTTTAAGGGTAAACTATATGCTACTGATAATATATGCCTTTTTTTTTTTTTTTTTTTTTTTTTTTTTGTGTGTGTTATGATTAAATAATTGAAATACTAAAATTATAATCTTTGAATATTTCCCAGAAGAAAAATGATTCAGTGAGAAATAAAACTAGAACTGTAGCAAAAGTGAAGTAGTCTAGGCCAAATGACCAAAATATTAAATCAATCAAATCAGGAGGATGGGCAGAAATAATTCCTTTTCCAGTTCTAATTAATTCGTAGGGCACATCATTGTTTCTGATATTTCTCAATTTTCAAACAAAAAAGAATTAAGACCAAGTAATTCAAAACATTTGCATAGCACAATGTCCTACATCAATCTGAACAAAAGGAAAATATTAAAAAGCTATAGTTTAAGCATAGCAAATATTTTCTTCAACATACAAAGTATCTGTAAACTCTGGAAATATAGTTGAAAAACTGACAAAGCAGCTAAGTGCAATAAAAAAAAGTGTAATGAAGAATTTATTTATTGCAAAATTTGAGTATTGAATGCAGTTCTTCTAATTTACTTGCCCATAGCAACAATTTTTTGAAAGGTATGAACCTATGACTGTATTTATTTGTTTACTTACAATATCTGCCCTCTATAGTATGTAGGTCAAACCAAGAACCACTTGAACTCTTTTATGATTAAATAAATGTAATCATCAAGCTTTTCCTTTCATGCAGACAGCTTGAAAATTGAACATTTTAAGAGTCATGATTTTAACAATGTGTGTATTTCCATTCTAGACATTTTTCCAATTTTAAAGATTCCATTTCTTAGAGAATAACTTTTTGTCCTAAGAAAGACCCTTTACTTCTATAGGCTGATAAAAATCTACAGAATATTAAAATTTCTAATTCCTTCCAACAATTCTACATTTCTAAAAATTGGACCATTCAAAGAAAAAGGAGCAGTAATTCTAATAAAAACTTAACAGTAACAGTGACCTTATTAAACTTACCGTCAACTTAATTCATCTTTACAACAGTGCTCATTTCATTGAGAATATTCTCAACATTTTTCATTCACTGAGACAAAGTTATCTTTTCTATTAACCAGCTATGTTTTTAAAGCTTTTTAAGTTTTAAGCAATGCTTTTAAAGCTGACTTTGTTGATCCCCCTATCTGTAAAAACCTAATTTCCAAGCTATCTAAAAATTCCTGTATTGCTAACAGAGATTTTTATATATTTCACTTTTTTCATCCTTGTTTTGATAAAATTAACTTATTTTACAACAGTGCGAATAATACTTGCTGATATTTAATTACAATTCCGTTTTTAGAATTAAATAATAGGATCGTAGGGAGTTTGTTTAGTAACCATCATCGTAAAGAGAATTCAAATGACTCTTGTTTTTGCCCAGAAGATTAATTTTAAAGAATTTGTTGGTCTCCACCATCATTACTGGTAATCTTAACATTATGGATCATCTTCATCTTAAAAATCATTTATCCAAACGCTCTAAATTTCTACTCATGTTCATTATCTTTAAAAATACCTGTATTAAAAGTATGATTGATAACCTGTACCATTTTATTTTTAAAAATAATATAGATACAGTTTACCTGTAGAAACTTTCCCTAAATAGAAACGTTTGTTGAAATTATTAAAATATTTGAGATGGTTAACCCCTTAACTTCCGCGGGCGTATATATACGCCTGCTCAGCCGATGCGTTAACTGCCCCAGGCGTATATATACGTCCTTCCAAACTGCTATCATTTGCTTTGCGCTGCTACACCTAAAATTATTCGCAAAGTTAACGCATCGGCTGCGCATCTGGGGCAGTTAATGCATCGGCTGAGCAAGGTGTATATATACGCCCGCGGCAGTTAAGGGGTTAATTCTCAATCAGGTTACCATAGCAAACATGTTTTACTCAATAGCATACGAATATTGAAAGATGAATTCATTATTACCGCTGTTGATAAAGCTTGAAATAACTTCTGCATTGTTTGTAAAAAATTATACTGTAATCTTTCTTTTCTTTTTTTTTTTTTTAAAACAAATTTACCATAAACTTATTTTTTGACATCTTCATAATCCCATCAAGTATCAAAAAATTCTCGGCAATGAAAAACACATTATTAAGAAATGTACTGCATTTCATAAAAAAAAAAAAATTCTACTTAGTCTTATTTTAACAAATTTATGAACCTTTATACAATTTCCAAATTTCACAAAACCATAAAATGTCTCCTCATAGCCAACCAATAACTATAGAGCAATTTATTTTAATTTTGAAAAAAGACTGGAAAAAAATGACTTTTTATTGCCTCTTCTGTTGGCCAAGATCCTAATTTCTGCTGGATTATTGAAAACAACTAGTTTTTGACATCATCAATAACAACTGTGTCAAAACTATTAACTGTTTTGACTTAAAAATCCACACCTCCATGTATTGAAATTTATGATTCTGCTGGATTATTGATCCAATTTCTACTGGATTCTTGAAAACAACTGTAGTTTTTGACATGTCAAAAATATTAAATGTTTTGAAGAGATTTCAAAATCTCTACAAGACACCTCCATTTACTAAAATTTATGATAGTTTGTCAAAATTACCGTACAATTTTCCTTGGATTTTAAAAGACACTTTGGCCAGGATTCTTGGACTACCATTCTCCAATGCACCTTATTTCACGAATTTATAAAATTTGTTATAAGATTTTCCAGTAAATTAATGGGATACTAATGGGTACTAATGACTACACAAGTATCTGCTATCTTTATATTTTCTGAAAAGAATTTGAATTCATGAAAAGCAGTGGCAATTTTATTAAAAGCAAATTCATCAACTCTTTCTATTGCATAAATGATATTATTATATTAATAATAAAAGTCTGATTGAAAAAAAGATCATTTACCCTTCTTGCCTCAAACTCTTAAGACCAAGCATAAACAGTAAATTGATTTTCTTGAACTAAGTATTAGCAACCACATCAGAATTAAAATTTTTTGGCAAAAGAAGACTTTTCAGCATCATTAAATTGCATTCCAATATTTAGAAAACAAAAATTGTTGCCCAGTTAGCTCAATAATTCTACTCTCATTTTAATATTGTGCAATTCCAGACTATGAGAGTAACTGGGCGTTTCATTGTAAAGTAACACAATCATGATACTGTTCTCCATATTTATTTTACAGCATCGTTATCAAACACCACAAATTTGGTTTTCATCACTCCATAAAGTCCTTTGCCCTACTGGTCAGTTAACATGAGTTTTAGCCTATATAATTTTTCAATCCTTTGTTTAAGATATAAAACTTTTTTTGTTTTTTTTCCCATGGAATTAGAAAATGTAAACTAAATTTCTGTCTGTCGAACAGTCTTTGCATTCAATTTTACATTAGATTGCATTATTTGTTCGTCTTCACCTTGATAATTTTCTACCATCACCTAGGCATAGTCTCTTAATTCTCCTATCATCAATCACTTAGAGGTATGTACCTGTCCTATCTTTATCAGGCTAATTTTGTAGTGATTAACTATTCCCATAATCTCATCAGAAGTTAAGTCACCTTGGTTAGTTTCTACCGATATTTCTTTCAACTTCATTGCAACTGTTGCCTTGTCTGTTTAATAATACTATTTTGCATTGCTTTCTAGGTGATCTGTTGACTTTTTGTTCCACTTTATTACGTGTTAAAAGCTCAGTAAATTAAAGAACTCGAAAAATCAACCAACTTGATAGCTGTTTTATAATGTTGACAAATGGTTTTCCAATACATGACATCACAAGTGGTGTATGATAAGTATTAACACTAACACTTGCTTTCTTTTCACATGCATTGGTTACAGTTACTGGATATGAGAGGTTATGGGTGGCATCTGGAATTCACATATTGACTTTAGCAGCATTGTAACAAAGTGTTCTTGACTGGTAAAGCTTTATCCTTGTGTAATATGTTTTTAATATGTGCAGTGGGCATGACAAGCTAGAGGTTTAAAAGTTAATGTAGCTTTTAATTTTTTTAGCTATATTTTCTTCTTTTGTCCTGATTTGATGGCAACTTGTAGTTAGAAATTTTTTAACCATATCTTCTTTCATCATGATTTGGTGGATAACTTATAGAATATACATGAAGATTATCTTGCCTGAGATGTTATACTGTCACATGCTTTTCAGCGTGTTGGAGCTTTCGTGAATTTCAAAATTGATATGCAAGCTTATTTGATTATACTTTTTTTTTTTTTTTTTTCCCAACATAAGAATTAGATGGAGTAAACTTATCACTTTGTCATCACTGTCAGTTACATGTCAGCCATTCATTTTATTCTCTGGAGTTACTTGATCAACCTACCATATTGAATGTAATATGGAATTTGTTGTATAAGATTCATTAAGATGGCTGGATATACAGGATGTATCCATGTCAGGTGCAACATTTTGTGTGTGTTCACTGATATTGTAAGATGTCTAAGAAGTCCATGTGTATAAACTTATTGTCATGGTTTAAACATATAGGTAATAAATTTGTTGTTGATTTTCTTCAATACTTATGTCTTTGCTTCTAATAATTCCAAAGACTATATACAGATATATGTTCCTGTATAAATATGATTTTTTTATGCATGCTGGACCTGGTTTTAGAAGTTCATATAGGGAATGTCATTTATAAACAAACATCTAGATATTTAACAAACTTTTTGCTGTTGAAAAGAAGTGGTGTAAAAAAAATTGTTCATTTTATTGCAGTTAAATAAGCCATAGTAACTACACAGTCCTTTAGACTTCAGTAGTGATGGCAGCTGCTGTCATGTATGTTTGTGAATGTGCTTAAACATGCCCTCCCTTTTCTAAATGAAGATTTGGCATGTATAAGCAAATACAAATGGATGTTAATTTTCACATGACTAATTAATATTGTCTTTTTAAAGATGAAATGTCATACGTTTTATTTTATTTTATTTTTTTTAGGCAGTGATCTGACTGGTTTGAAGACTTTACAGCATACTCTGCTGTTATTCAATTATAAATGTAATATTCAGTATTTATGTACTGTGTTTGCTTGTAGCACTGTGATGCACTAATTGTGTTTCTTTGTTACATTTGTTGTTTTAGGTTTTACTGTAATGTATTTTAAAGAGAAGTAAATTTCTGATTCCATGAGCATATGCTCATTTTGAAATCAGATTTGAGTCATTTTAAGGGCCCAAAAGACCTATTATATTTTTAAATATAATGTTTGCATTTGTTTTTCTTTTATGCATTATTAAGTATTATATATTCATATTTTAAAGTTAAATTTAGAGTTTTAGGTAGGTAGTTTTTCTGTGTATGGTGTAAATGGGGATTTATAAAAAATTCTACATTCTAATGTAGCTCTATATTTTTAAAATTAAAAGTTATGAGAGGTGAGATGATTTATCCAAATTTGATTTGTGCCAAAAGTGTGAAAGGTGATTTATGTATTAATTTAGTTTAATGCATTGTTCCTCAAATGATTAAATAGTTTTGTATTTATTCAATAAAAAAACTTCAACTTGCACTTCCTCTCCCTTCTTGAAAAATATTTTTAAATTTTGGCAAAGTGAATTCGTCAATATAGCTAAATAAAGAAATGTTTAAATAAAGCAGTATAATTCACAAAAGTATAGGAATCCTTTTATTTTGGTCGTGAACAGCTTTTCTTTTTAACTTATATACTTGTTTTTTATGCATTTAATGTGAAATTCTGGGATGATAAGGCATTTTATTCTTTCAATGTATAATTTTTTTTTTTTTTTTTTTTTCTTATGTACAAATGTATTCATCAGGAATTTGAAAATTTCTTTCAAAAACAAGGATTAATCAAATAATACTGCGTATGTTTTAACTAGTGCTTTGTATTGCTATTTCTGATTCATTTTCATGATATAAGCTTCTAAAGCCCTTCTTCGGCTTTTTTTACATCAAAATTTTTCATGTTGTTTTATAATATTGATTGTGGGCAATCTGATTTAAATTATCCTTTATGTATAATAAATCCATGTAACTTTGCAAATATGAATGAAATATTGTTCTTGGTATAATTCCTTGCTGTCAGTATCAAATTATCAAGCATTGGCAGAAATGCAGCTAAATTAATCAGCATTTTAAATAGCTTGATAAAATTGTTCTCAGCTATAATCTCTCCTGCAAGTAAGTATTGTAACAGAGTACTTGCAGGAGTATTGCAATACTATCGTGAGTTTTACTATAATAATGAAAATGTTATTTACTATGTTAATCTTCAAGATTATTTTTAAAAGGAACAGTGAAACCGAATATTTTTATTCTTATTTTTGCATGTTTCTCATCTGTTGATTTAAAGTATTTGATCAGGGGCTGCCAGCCGGGGGGGGGGAGATGCAGTCAATCTGTTGTTAAGCTATTTAGTTTTAATTTGTGAATATAAAATAGCTACTTTTGTTCAAGTTTTGGTATTTACCAATATTTTTTATACTTTTTGTTGTTTAACTTATTAAACATGTTAAAGTATAATTGAAATATAGATAAATGTATATATGAATTTTTTCAACTTTGGAAAGGAGTGGAGAATGATCTAGCAATGATGAAAAAGGTTCATGGAGCCAAAAAAAAGTTGAGAACCACTGTGTTCTATATTTTGATTTTCAGTAAAGATAACTTTTAATTATATTTTATTCTATACCTTTATGCAAAGTTTGGGAGGGAGGAGCATCCTATGTATGTACTGTGGGATTCAAGCTCTGTTTGACCAGTGGTTAGAGTATTATTTGAATATGTGTGCTAACTAACTATAACTAAGTACTCATTGATCAAATGAACCCTTTTGGACAGCCAAGTGTAGTCTATAAAATGCTCTAAGAACTAAAAGTTCTGACTTAAAACTCAGATCTGTGAGCTCTCTATGTTAGAAAAATCATGAATACACTTGGAGTAAATCTATCTACCCATTTACAGTGATGTCATCCCATACCATGCACCTACAAGTACCATAGTGGTTGATCAGTTTATCTAACATTAGAGGGAAGAATTCATATTTTTGTCACCGAAGAACAGACACATGCTCATTAATCTTTGGTAAGACTGCTTTCTCTAGCAGTTCAAATGGGTACATATTTAAGAAGAGAAATAAATGCAGATCATTTATTTCATTGCATAAAGATCTACCCTTCAAGTCTTCAGTAAATTCAAGGTTTCCGAAGTCAAAGAGGGTTTTGAAATTGCTTCCTGGATATATACTCTCTTATTGGGAGAAGCATCAATCCATTAGGTGGCAGCTTTTTTGATGCAATGCGATTCTTAGGCATTTTTGTTTTGGAACATTTTCAAAATATAACTTTTCTGAAGAACCTTCAATTATATTTTGCTTCAGTTGAAATAATCTCACTTCTTATTGGCAATTTGAAATAGAATTTTAAATGTTGGGAATATTATTATCCACTGGCACATATATTATTCAGTTGCTATAATCCATTAAGAGCTTTTATGCATGTCTTGATAAGAGCTAAGGTGTGACTGATTTTTTCAAATGCATTACTTGCCTCTTTTTTCCCAAAATAATTAGATTTTTTATTCTTAAAGAAAGATTTGGGTGTTTTTTTTTTTTTTTTTTTTTTTTTTTTTTTTTTTTTTTTTTTCATTTTAATGACAGCAATGTGTTTTATGCATGGACCTTATAAGAAATAGATCAACCCAAATGAGTTTTCTCCCTTGCCCTGGCGCATTCCCGGCTGTTACCTTGACCACATCATGACTTGCAGAAGCTTAACAGTAGTTAGCTAATGCAACATGTATACGTTTCAAGAAAAAGCTGGTGATAGTTCCTCCTTTCACAAATTAGAATTTTTGATATTTTTATTTTTCAAACTGAGATTGATTTTTAAAAAATAACATGTTTATCAAGCATAATTAATGTTCTAAATAATTATAACACTGTTGCATGCTTTCAGGTCTGGATATTTTTTTAGCTTTTTCTAGTCTGTAAGGAAATTTTTATGTACTTCTTTTAAAAAATAATATTTTAAATCTGAACTAATAGAAAAATTCAAATAAAAATTTTTCTCTTACAATTTTTATGATTTTTATTGGTATAAATAAGTAAAAAATACTAAAATCCGAAAAATGGATTTTTGAAGGTTTTTTTGTTTAAAATTCTTAATTGTACTGCTTTTTAAAAATTATATCTAAATATTATAGCATAGTATTCTACAAAGGAGTTTTATTTCAATAATATTTCATAATAATACGTCATAGTGATAAACACGTTTAACACTTTGATAATTTTTATCCATTTATTCTAATGTTAAAAATTGTATTTAACTGTAAAAATTAATTGTGCTAAATTTTATAGTGATTATTTTTTAAATTTAGTTCTAATTCTGCATAAGTTTTCTTATTTATTGTGAATTTATTTTATTAGCCCAAAGGAGTGGCAGCTCAGAAAAGCTGTTAGTTTCGAAACGGCATTTTGCTTTGTTTCACTTTGCAAACTGTTGCCACCAAATATTATCACCCTGTATTATATTTAAAGAAATTAAATAATGAAGAATATGCATGTATGTTTCTCTTTCTTGCACATTGAAAAAAAAACAACAAAATTTAGAGCCATCAAATTTTGAATAACGTAATCCTCCACCCGAATATGGGCATGTGGACGGCCTAATTTCGAATTTGTTTTAATCCATTTCATATTTTGTAACTTTAACGAAGTTTTGATTAACAAACTCAACGAGTTCAAAGCAAGCAATGACAACCCTGTACAGAAAATAACATTTTTATCTCCAGCACGGAAATTCTAAAGATATGCCATTTTCAAATATTTTGTGTCATTGCTCTTGAATTGAATTTTATTTGGTTTACTTGCAAAGAACATGATATTTAATAAATAAAAGTAACACACAAAACGTTACAAAAAATGCTCCTTTGGGCATAATATAAAATCAAATCTGAGTGCTTTATCTTTTTCTTCCCCCCATTACACTCAGAAAAGTTTACGCTCCGAATTTTATGAATAACAAAAATAAATAATCATTTTGTCATGTTAATAATTAATAATTGTATAATCAAATAAATGATGGTCTTGTTATGTTATAATAATTTTAAAAACTACTGCCTGAAAATGCACATAAAATCAAAGAAAATTATAAGTTCATAAGTTTCGCGTTTAGAATTTTTACCGTTTTACTAAAGAAATTTATACAAGAATTACGCTTGAAAAAAATGCGCAAGATGCAGTAAAAAGTGGTTTTTTGAGATATATTAAATCTTATTTGGAAAAACTGTGACTTTCATAATCTCATCACTTATACAACATATCACATTTAATAATTAAAAACAGTTATGTGATACAAACGCCACAGGTTTCCATGTTAAAGTAAGCCAGATCGTCCCTACTCTTCCTTGCGGACATGTGGGTGATACACGCTCTGCCCGCTGGGTTAGTCTATCTCTTATAATATCCATAGTTTTATGTATCTGCATGAAAAATGTTTTTGCTTTCGCCATTCTTGTTTGTAATTCCACCCTAGCATGGATACTGGAAAGTTTTATCGTTTAATATTAATGCTTCTTTCCAGAACTATTTTTCTTAAAAAGTAAATACTTGAATATTACCTAAATGTATTTTTGAAAGAAAAGTGAATGAACAGTTTAACGAAGAAACTGAATGTGTTTATGTGATGTGATGGGTTTGGATTTTATATTTGAGCAATTATTCATTGTATTCTTGAATTATTCATCCTTTTTGTAATTTTTTTTGGTTGTAATACATTTTTTTTTTAATAATTCGAGAATAATTTTAGATTTGATTAAAATACTAAAATATTAAGAAATTATCTTAAGATCACAGTAAGTAAGATTAAAGTAATGGATATCTTAGACTATAGTTTGCTTTAAAGGATTGTATGATGATTATATTATGAAAAAGTGGAAATACTGAAAACTTTAATATTTGCAGTCGATATTTACTGCAAATTAAAAAAAAAATTTGTGAAAAATACTGCATGGGTGATAGTAGTGTGCATAAATGCTTGTTTAAATAAAGCTCATCTAATTCTGCAATAAATATATTGCTTAATTAGTGAAAAGTGATTTACAGAATGTCTAGCTTTGTGCAGATAATAAATACAATTTTACATAAACAAAATGTTTTTAAGCATGCAAAATATTTTTCTATATTTTTAATGTATAAAATTATTATTAATATTGAAGTTAAAATTTTCGATAATGTTAATGACTAAGACAGCAATTTGCAATTTTATTGCTTCATGAAAAATGGCATGTCCATAGTATAAGTTGATAAAACTATAGTATAAGAACAAAAATGAAATCGTGTATGTGTAGACAGTAGAAAGAGAAAGTTACTAAATTTTTTATTAATAAAAGCAGATAAATACAGAAATTGCACTTTATCAATCTTATAAAAATATGAACATTTTATTAAATAATATTAGGTATGAAAATATTGTTTTCAAGTAAGGAAGGATTAACAAATATGTACAGCACTCTGTCTTCATTTACCAGTTTCTCAGAAATTTTTTAGTAACAGTGCTGCTAATATAACTTTTATTATTAGAGATTTTTTAACTCTCACATGCCACATTCCCTTTTCAAGTACACAAGTTAAGAAGCACTTCTAAATCTCTCTACTGTTCATTAGATGCAATCATTGCATTATACTTCATCTTAATATCTGTATTGAATGTTGCTAGATTTTATATGTCAATATAGTTGTAAAATTATTTGTCAATATTTTTGCAACCACAGTGAAACCTCTGTTTATATTTTGTTTTAAATTCCATTTTAAAATGTAAAGTAGGATATGTTGTTTGTAAGGAATGTTAATAATTTAAACAAGATGTTATAATTTTGCAAACTATTGTATAAGAATATATTTAAACATATTTATGATTGATCTTTGATTTTATTGAGAGTTTAGGCATTATTGCAAATTAAATATTTAATTCATTTAAAAGAGTATCCTCTCTTAAAAAGCTTGAGCTACTTTAATACATTATTACCATGACAGCTTTCAAGATTTGAGCCTGAAAAGTCTGATTAAATGATAATATATTGTAATTAACAATATATATATATACCTCTTTTTACTGATGAGTTATCTCATAGTTGGCATACGTAACAAAATTCTTTACAGCAGATTAATTCACATTCAGATACACTTCAGCCCTTATTACTGTTTCGTTTACTTTTAGTAGTATGTATAGATTCAGAAAAGCCAAATTCAGTGATTATGAGTTTGTGTCATACCCAGTCCTGTCAGCCAAATTATTTCATAGTTCACAGTCAATGAATTAAAAGATTTTCTGTAAAATTCAACATTCACCACCTCCTTTATTGGTCAAATTTATTTTTCTGAGGTAATAACAAAAATTAAAATCTTTATTATTGGTGATTTTTTAAAAAGTAAAGCAACATTAGAGAGTAATATTGAACTATAGTAATCGAAAGAATATCTGTCCAAATTTTGTAAAATATTAAGTCTCTTAAGGGAAAGAAGCAGGTATAGAGATCATTAAATCAAGGTCACTATTTCCTTTCAAGTGCTGTAACTTATTTTTATCAAAAAAAAAAAAAAAAAAAAACCCATAAAATTTTGAAGTTGCATAGCAGTGTTAGCATAATTAGCTAAAGTTTATAAACAGCAGGAAAATGTATAATTCACTTCAATAAGAAAATCCGTACTTACTGAAAATAAATTTTTAAAAAAATCATAATTGTGTGAAATGCAGGAATATAAGAACTTGGTTTCACTGTAGTAAAGATTTAATGTTACACTTTTTGCTAAATATATATACATATATTTCCTTTTTCTATGATCATATTTTGTTAAAGTACTGGGTTATGTTGCTATTTTTCATGCATTTTGAAAACCTATTTAATAATATGATTAAACTATATTCATTATACCCAAGTAATCAGAATAATAAATAATCCATGTAATTTTTTGTGTGAAATAAACATTTCAACATCATACCATTGAATGTGTGTTTATTATAATGTACAGATCTGTTGCAGAGATATGATCCAAAAAAATCGCTTTTGGTGTTAGTGATATTATGATTACTGTACCAACAGAGGACATGGACAAAAAAAATTTATGCTGAGCTACATGTCAGTAAAAGTTAAAATGCTGCTGAATTACAAACACTGAGCCAGAAACAAGGCTTATGACTATTGCTGAAAAATATTGAAATTTTGGTAAATGTACAATTTTTGGAGAGTTCCAAACATGTGCCATAGTATGGAAGAACGTGTCTATTATTTTCCTTAAAATTTTAAGCCGAAATAAGAAAAAAGTAGCTACAGAATAATAAAAACATGGAGTTCTGCAATAGTATAAACAAAATAGTAAAATTTAAATGCATAATGGAACTTAAATATTAATCCTAAAGGATTAACAGTGATGAAATTCATCACTTAATTCGCATTTTGTGAATTCAAGTCTGTTTCCCCTCAGAGTTCTTTATATAGAGACACCCATCTCCTTAGGATGATAGCTTTTACATGTGTAACCATATTTGGTTTTATGAATTAAACTTAATTTCCATAGTTAATATTTGAAATTTTGGTGTGTTTGCTTGTTAAAATTGCTTAATATTGGATCATCCAAAAATTTCTGCAGTTTTTTTTATAACAAAGCAGCATACACAGACACATATACACAGAATACAAAAATCATTGAATCATAAGTACCATTTTATTCTATGACTTTTTGCCATCTCTCTGACAACAGGAAAATTCCTCAAAACCGTCATTAGGATTATTTTTAAAGAAGTTATCAAGGTGCTATTTGACAGTCTGCAAAGGAAGAAAATGGTAAATTCCATACTATTCAGAGAATTTTGAAATGACCTGTAGAAAAAAAAATTCAAGGAGACAAGGTATAGAATACGCAGGGGGGGGGAT